ACAAGTTACTTAATAGTATTAAGGTATGACAGTTAAAAAGAAGTAACAGCCTCAAAAGTACTCACAGTGTTCCATAGATATATAGCCCAGAGACAATCCCTTCTAACAAGACAATATTCCCTGGTGATTTTATAAATGATTTTATGAATGATATAAATGAGACAATTACCCAGACCTCCAAATGGAGGTTCATGTTCATTTCATATTCTGGTCACTTCCTAGCACAATTCCTAGCTGTAGCTTGCTTGTATATTTGTACAACAATATAACCTCCAGGAATTTCATGAACTAGTTTTTCTTCTCTACATAAGGCATAGTGGTATCTGAAAGACAGTACAATAGCAACCACTCCAGTAAATACTTGAATAATTATAGCTGAATGAACGGATTCTCCAGTAAAAGGATACAGAAGCTGCCTCTAGCATTCCAAAAATTTCTATAAACATTTCTAAATCACGGTGTCAACTTAATCAAAACTCATAATGAGTTTCCTGAAGAATGCAGAAGAGTGAAGTTATGAGGAGTATGCTTTGACTTATTAAGGCTACCAAAGCATATCTAAAAAGAAATGGTTTAAAATGCTTAATTTTTGAAATAATTTTGTTTCTTGTTCAAGTATGTTGTTGTTTTCCACCTTAAATTTTAATGTTCAAAAAATAGATTTAATGTTCTTCTGTTAAGTCATGTTCCCACTGAAGACAATCCTACTTAAATCTTACTTGAGAGTAGAGACAGTATTGCACAATATGAGAAAGCACAGGTTCTTGAGCCAGAAAACTGGTTTCAAATCTCAGCTCAGACACAATTATTATTGTAGTTTTGTGTAGGCAATTAAGCAAGATAATGACAGCATTATGAAGAATTGTTATGAGTTTGACTTTAACATGTGTAAATGGCTGCATATACTGTTTATCCTGCCATGATTCTATAAATAATATTTTTCATTTTTGTTTACTTTAAAAGTAAATATTGTACATGTATAATTTTCCTACTAAGTACTTGTCAATCATTGTACCATTTACAGGTCTACTATCTGTACAGAATCGTCCAAAAATTCTTTTTTTCTGGAAAATATCCTCCTAACTTTGTTTAAAAGTTCTTGCACACATTTTGCAGTTATTTGAGGTATTAATAATTAAAACAAAGCTTATTTATTACTATTTCACCTAGTTGGCCAGTGTCCAGTGTTAATTAACCTCAAAGATATTTTGAGGGAATTTAATCTTTTCTGTTTCTTTAGTGATTTTTCTTTTTCTTTTTTTTTATTATTGAGACATAATGTTTGTAGATCTTTGCAGGGTACAATATGATAATTTGATTCATGTATATGTGGTATAATATTCAAATCCAGGTAATAATCTCTTCCATGTCCTCAAGACATTAGTCATTTTTTATGTGTTGGAATATTTTTGTATTTTCTTTCCAGTTGTTTTGACATATGTCTTGTAACCAGTAGTTACCTAACAGTGAAGCACGAAACCAGAACTAAGTCCTCTAATTAGCTGTGCATTTTATTACCCCTTACGTAACTCCTTTGTATCCCTTTTCCTACCTTCCCTTCTGCCTCTGGTGAGCCTTATTCCACTTCACTGTTCTTCAAGATCAATGTCTTAGGGGCCACAAATGAGTGAGAATATGTGGTCGTTTTGCATCTAGCTGATTTTACTTTATACAGTGACTTCTAGTTCCATCCATCTTACTGAAGATTGCAGGATTTTATTCTTTCTTATGGATGAATAGTTTTCTGTTTGGGCCATCTTGATCAACCCCTTATCTTAGCTATTTTGAGTAATGCTGCAATAAATATAGGAATGTGAGTCTTTAATACAATGATTTTATTTCCTTTGAAAATACAGCCCAGCCAGTAGTGCAATTTTACTATTGTTCGGCAGTTCTATTTTTATTTTTTAAAGAATCTCTTTATATCATTTTCCATAACTGCTAAAAAATTTAGAAGCTCAGAAGGATTCACTGACTTATATTTGTCATCATATTCAGTTGTGAATTCATTGGTATCTAAACAACATCAAAAAGAAAAGGGCGCTTCTGTTTTATAGAAACCAGCTTAAGTCCTAGGGTGGCTGGGAGAATTTAGCCCTTTCTGTCCTGGGCCAGAGCTGGATACACAGAGAATGAGATGATGCAGAAGAATTCATATGTCAGGTACAGGAAAAGCTTAGTGCCACAAGTTAGTTTCTCTGTGTGTAATTTTAAAAAAAGGCAGATAAGTATAGGAAGCAATTTCTAAGTTGGCTCTTGTCAGATCCTATATTAATGATAATAATGTAGCTCCTATGAGGAAAATATTTCCCTGGATTATGACAAGTGTTAAAGACAATAGTTTTTTTTTAAAAATACACCCAATTTTATTGAACTCAAATTCTTCTAACTGCTGTTTAGTAAAACAGAATAGTTTTCTTATTATTAATAATTCAATTTGCATGTTGCAAAGCACAAGCAGCTCACAAATACATTAGCAGCTAATTCTTACTCTAAATAAGCTGGTAAGGAAAACAATTTAATACACATGATGAAAGATCAAATTTCATGTTTTGTGAAATTCAATTATGTTGAGCTTTTAAAAAATAGAAGTATCTGAGCATACATATTACCTGGTTTTACATTATAAGCATTTATTACGATGGGGTAAATAAACTATAGAAAAAAAGTAAGACAGCCTCTTTGTGGCACAAGAGATTTTTTAACCTACAATTGTGTCTTTAATTTCATATCTCCTCGCTGAACTAAAGCCAAGAACTGAATCACATTTATCTAAGTCCTAAACTGCCACTAAAGGTAGTTGTCGCGTAAGTTGGCTAGTCTCTCTGAAGCACAATTTGCTCAATGATAAAAATAATAAATAAAATAAATAAAAAATTAAAATGGACATTGAAATAAAATGCCTCAATTGTTTTAATTCTGTAACTATATTGTTCCATGATTGAATAGTATTTAGAATCTGATATACACATCTGTCAGTGCAGATGAAGCTATTCGTATGAGATTAGTAGAGGCCATTATGCAATCTTTATTAGCAAGAAGCTTGCCTCTGCAGCAGACACAATGCTGACAAATTTTTTAACATCAGTTGGTGGCTCTATTAAAAATTAAATATGCGCAGTGCTACTAAATATGACACTCAGTGGACTTTAAATTCATATGGTATTAACATAAACATTGTAGTTGATTGACATTTTAAAAATAGGACTGGAATTTCAGGGAACTGTTATGGTTTAATTTATATGAATTCTTGGCGGGACTGATATAATACAGTTAACTTGGAAGAGAGTCAGTGCTCATGGAATGTCAAAGGAATGGGCACAATTAGAGGATAAAGGCAACCTCCAGTGAGGCATCGTGAATACTTGAAGTCATAGGAATTTGTTTATGGAGCTGGAAACTCAGATACTCAAAAATGTATGGAGACTATAAACACCATAGTGTTTTATTAGAGGCAACATAGTTTTCTAGGCATACACATAAAACAGAACATCAAACGTATTGCATAACTTTAAAATAACTAATTACATAAACAAGTTGAAGATGTGGTAGGGTTAGGAAACAAGATACTTGGCGTACTTTTCAAGTAATATGTTCTAACAGATGACATTTAGAGGTGTGGCTTTCACACTCGTTAAGAGGAAATAGAAATATCTCTGTGTAGTCTCACTCACAAAGCTAACTTCCATACCAAAACTAACTCAACACCCTTGACACCACGAGCTACTACGGCAGCTACTACAGAGGCTTGGGGTATGGCTATGGAGCCTTTGGTAGCCAGGGCTACAGCTATGGCTGTGGGTGTGGCAACTTCCACCAACTGGGTTGTGGCCGTGGCTATGGGGCCTATAGATATGGCTCTGGCTATGGATATGGATGTTGCCATCCATGGTGCTATGGAGGATCTCAGTCTTCTGGTTTCTATTGATTGATGAATGATTTCAGTCCCTAGTATGTGCTTTTTTGCCTTTTGCAAAAGCTTGTATTTTGTTGTTATTGTTAAAAGTCAGATAGTCTTTGTTGTTTCTTTAAACTAAATTTATTTAACTGTTATCCAAAACTGCAAAGTTACACATACTAATGGGGTGACGTGATATTTTCATACAAGTATGTACTATGTAGTCACTTTAAAAATAACTATTTCTTTAAACAGTTTTCAGTTTTTTATGGCAAAACATTCAAAATCTTTTCTTCTATCTTTCTGAGGTCTCAGATCTACAATCACTATCCATATTCATCCCATCATGCGGGAGCACACTAGAAGGTCTTTCTCCTCTCTAACTGCAACTTGGAATCCACAGAGCAGCCTTTACACATTCCTTCCTCTTTCTTCCACTATATAGTTTTGGGTAAACATCATCAGCTTCCATACCCATGAAATCAACTTTCTATTCCACATATGAGTGAGGTCATGTGTCACTTACTAGCAAAAGGCACCCAATAGCACATTAATAAGATTGTTTGGTGAGGTCCAGTGAGGTCATCTGAGGGGTCAAGGGTTGTTTCACATATGGAAATCAATTCATATGATACATCACATCAGCAGAATGAAAGCCCAAAACCATATGTCCATATCAACAGAAAAAATGTCCCATAAAACTCAATATCCTTTCACGATAAAACACTGGACAATTTTAGCAGGAACATACTGCAACATAAAAAAGGCCGTATGTAAGGAGCCAGCCACTACCACAATGAATGGGTAAAAGTTCATAGCTTCTCACTAAAGCTATGGAACAAGAAAAAGATACCTGCTCTCAACACTTTCCTTCAACATGATGTGGGAATTTCTGGCCAAAGCAGTCAGACAAGAGAAAGAAATAAAGTGAATCCAAATTGGAAAAGAGGTTTTCACTGTTTAAAAACAGCATAATCTTACATATCAAAAGCCTCAACAACTGCACTAAAAAGCTCTCAGGGCTAGTAAATTTAGCAATGTTGATGAATATGAAATCAATATACAAAATCAGTAACATTTCTAGATAGTAATAACAAATCACCTGAAGTAGAAATCATAGATGCTGAAGATTCTTTCTCATCTTTTCTGTGGTGTTTCTATCTTCATTTCATTAATTTTCCAGTCTTGGGAAGAAAAATGGCCCTGTTGTAGAAAAAAGAATTCCAAAACTGATAGAAATCTCTGGCACTGTGGGTGACACTGTTGTATTTTTTACCTATACTAAATTAGATGTGTAAAATCTATTATTAGGTGTTTTTAACATCTAGCACCTGAAAGGTTTGAAAATAGATTTAAAGGAATTAATTGGAAAATAATCTCTCTTCATGGAATATATGATTCAATATCATAACAGTATATGTTTCCTTCCGAGTTAATTTATAAATTCAATTCAGGGTTAATGAGTGCTTATAATTTTGTTGTTTTTATGGTAGAGAAAGTGAGGTGCAACTTCATGTGGAAAAATATGTAAAAATAACCCAGACAATATTAAGGAAAATAATCCAAAGAAAATACAGTCTTAATTGATGTTAAACCATGATGTAGGTCTCTATGTAATTAAAACAATATAGTAATAGTCCATAAAAAATATAAAGAAATAAAATGCAAAATTCATATGTAGAGCTAGGTAATATTGAGCATGTAATAATCCAGATAACATAGGTTACTTAGAAAAAGTATATATTTTTAATAAATAATATCTAAGCAAATAGTTATGTACTTTTAAAAACAAAAATGACAAAATAGTTTTATTATTTCCATAATACATAAAAATTCATCTTCAACTCTATAAGAGTTCAAAATGTAAGTATAAAAACAAGAACCAAGGAGAAATCATCTCCAACTATACCAGAATTCAAAATGTAAGCACAGAAATGAGAAACAGACCTGGGGATTTAGCTCAGCAGCACAGCGCCAGCCTGGCATGCACAGGGTTTTGAATTTGATTTCTGGTACTGGAAAAAAAATGAGAAAAAAAGAGAAATACATGAAATATATGTCAAAAGAAAAATGTGTTCTTAATGCACAATAAATTCTGAATGTTGAAGGACAAAAATATAAAATAAAAGGGAATGAGCATAACCTTATTCATGAGAGAAACATAAATTACAGCTAAATTATAGGCCATTTTCACCTATCAAATGGCAAATGTCCAAAAATATGAGAGTGCGTTCTGTTGGTGAGACTTTTGGGTAATACTCATCTTTCTGTATTGCTGATGCGAATATAAACTGATCAAGTCCAGATGGAATGTCTAGTAGGTGGAAACAGCCCCCCAAATATCCAGACCCCAGTGCAGTGGTGTTGAAACTATGGCACTTGTAGCACAGTGTGCTGTGTGTGTCATTGAAAGCTCTAAAAGGTTTGCCATCACTGCTGTAGTGTGTTGCTCAGGTTTCCAGTATGATAAGAAAACACCTGAGATAGTTCACGTATGTAGAGGGAGAGGTTTACTTTGACCCATAGTTCTGGAGGTTCCAGTTCATGATGAGTTGGCCTTGTTGCTTTGAGCCATTATCATGTACACAGATTACCTGAAGAATAACTGCTCACCTTGTGGCTAAAAAGCAGAGAGAGGGGGGCTTGGGGTCCCACAATCCCCTTCTTGAGCAAGACCCCAGTTGATTTAATGACCTTCCACAAGGCCCTGCCACTTTTTGTTGTTATTGCTGTCTTTTGTCTTGATTTTATTTTCTTTTGTTGTTTTGTTTCGATTTTTGTGTTTCTTTCTCTTTATTTGTGTGCATGTGTGTGTGTGTGTGTGTGTGTGTGTGTGTGTGTGTGTGTATTGTCCTGGCTATTTTGGGCCCATGAGTTCAAGCAATTCTTCCTTTTCAAACTCCTGAGGACCTGGGACTATAGGTAAGCACCATCCTGTCCAGCAAGCCACATTTCTCAAAGATTTTATCAGCTCCCAAAGGGCTACCTTAGGGATCAAGCCTTTTAATCATTTGAGGAACATTCAGGGTCCAAACTATAACACCTAGTACTCATAAACTGTAAGCTTGTTAGTTTACATGGGCAACTAGATATTGCAGAAAAAGGATAAATCTCAGATCTATCAGATAATCACCTATAAGAGGACTGGGGCAGAAGTAGAAAGAGGGCAATGGACATGATAGACTTTTTTTTTTGTCTTTTCTTGAAATATATTTATGTAATCATGCAATACCTTTTTGGTAAGGCTTACTTCAATTCAAATTATGTCCATGGTCTTCTTCTATATTTCTGAGGGTAGCAAACATTTTTCCTTACTATTGCTTTGTGGGACTCTGCCATACAGAGGTTATGGAATTTGTACTTTCTGTTCTGGACATTAGTAGTTGTTTTTGTTTGTTTGTTTGTTTGTTTGTTTTCCAGTTTGGGAGTGCTACAGGTAAAGCTACTATAAATGTCCCTACACATTTATTTTAGTGAGCACATGTATTCATTTCAGTTGGATATATTCCCAGGAGTAGAATTACTGTGCTGTGGAAAAATATAAATATTCAGTTTAAAAGCTATGACCAGTTTTGTAAAGTCCTTTTCTTAATTCACATAATAAGTAGCATTGTGTAAACATTCTGTTGCTCCATGCTCTTATCCATATAATAAAATAGTGTTACTTTTCTAGACAAGGGTTTCTTTGTTTATATGGAAAATATTTATCTTAAAATGTTCATGTTATACTATGTTGCCTAATGAATTATCATAGTTGTTAAGTTTGTTTTGATTGATTCTCTAGGAATGTTCTAGATATATTGCCAGCATATAAAGATAGCTTCATTTGTTTTTGTTCTTTTCCCGATACTCACAGCTCCACTGATATCTCTTTTCCAACTGGCTTACTACTTGTATTTCCAGAATAAAATTTGACAGTACATACAATGAGAGTATTTTTTGCCCTTCTCTGATTTTTGCAGAAATATTTTTATAGTTTTACAGTTAAGTAATATGTTGAGTTTAAGATAATTTTATTATGTTAAAACATTCATTGATTTGTATTTTCCTAAGTGCATTTGTCAGGAATGTATTGAAATGTGTCAAGGTCTTCAACAATTATGGAAACAGTAATACAACTTTTTCTCCTTCATCGTATCAACATAATGCTATCAGAATGAATATTCTAATTGTATTTGTCATGTTTCCTATCTCTAACACATGATATTCATTATCCACAGTATAAAAGAAAAATTTAAAACGTCTGATAGTCTCTGTCTTGGTTACTTTCCTCTGGTTGCTGGGACAAAATACCTGACACCCAAAATTAAGGAAGGAGAAGTTTATTTTGCTTACAGTTTGTGGAGGTTTCAGTCCAGACTTGGCAGATTACAAGGCAGAGTGGCACATGGCAGAGAGCTACAGCTCATGGTGGCAGAACACAGCAAAAGCCACAGCCATACACCAGGGAGGAATGAGGGAGGAATCTCCTCAAGCACCCTTTTCCTCTCCCTTATATATGCAAACTATGAACCCCAGGGCGGGTGCAGCTCTCACACCCCTAATCAAACTTTAAAAGCCTGCCCCATGGCTGCATGAGGCTTTGGGGGGACACACAGACACAAACCATAACAGTCTCAAAGCATTCAGTCCTTGGCAAACAGGCTCCAGAAAAGAAACAGCATGATTAAAGGGTATGGCAGAGCACAGATCCATAGTTCATGGTTCCCAGGAAACAGGGGAAGAATATTAGCAGGGTAGGAGGCAGTGACCAGACAAGGTATATGATGCCATGACTCACTCAGATACATGTTGGAGGAATGTGCTCCACCAATCTTCCAGGTGAATCTGAAAACCTATCAAACTGATACTCTAACCACAACACTAACTTTGATACAACTTATATTCTTCAAATAAATCCAATTTTCTCATGTATTATTTTATTATCATGGTACTGGACTCTATTTGCTAATCTTTTGTTTAGTATTTTTCACATATTCAGATGTAATATTAGCCTGAAATTTTCCTTTTTTGTGCCATATTTACTGAGTTTAGATAAATGCTATATTAATTTCACAAAAAAGTATTTGTAGGCTTTATTCATTTTCAGTGTTCTGAAATGTTTTATGTCACATAGGGATGATGTATTTGAATTTGTGACAGATTAATCTTTGAAACTAATCTAGTTCATAGCTTTTTGCTGTATTGGTGTTTCTTTACATTTTTTCTCTGTTTCTTCTCAAAGACATATTAGAATAATTCACCCATTATTCAGCCTATAAGAAGAATGAAATTCTACCTTTTGCAGTAATATGGATGGCACAGGAGGACATTATGCTAAGTAAAATAGGCAGGAAAATAAATACTAATATCATGTGTTCTCACTTACATGTCAAAGATAAAAGTTTATCTTAAAATGAGTAGAAAATAGAATGTAGGCATCAAATCTTAGGAAAAGTATGAGTAGGGAGAGATGAGAGGTGAGAGATAGGAAGAATAGACTAGTGTTTTATAGGTTAGCTGGATAACTAAAGTTGACAATTGATTGAATATTTTAAGCCAGAAGAGAGGAATTTGAATATTTCCAACACAAAGAAAAGATATTACTGACAATTTCTCTGATTTGATCATTCCACATTGTATATGGTTTTAAATAACATTTAATAGGTACATAATTATGCACCACATAATACATGTACTTACTTTTGTCCTTCAAAAATAAAAAGTATGTAAAACAATATTTTAACCTATATCCCTATATTATAATACAGATATTAACTTCATCAATTCTGGTATTTTTCCTTTTTCCAGTATGTCATGTAATTGGAATTATGTAATACATTGTTTTCCAGATGATTTCTTTCACTTAGTGAAGTGAATTTTAATATTTATTTTTGTCTTTTCATCTTGATAGTTAATTATTTTTATTACTGAATGCATTGTATAATGTACTACGTTGTACAGCTCTTTTATCCCTTCGCTTGATCAAGGACATTGCTTCCAGTTAATGAGACTCTGAATAAAGCAGTTGTAAATATTAATATATGGGGTTTTTTTAATGGTGCATAGGAGTCAAACACACTACCTCACTCATGTTAGATCAGTGCTAAACCTCTGAGCTACCTCCAGGACACACATGCAAGTTTTGGAGTTGTCAGTTTTTGTATTAGTTGAATAAACATCAAGCTGCACACTGGTGGGCCATAAAGTAAAAGTGGATAGCT